ACTTGTTTACTTGTATGAGTGTCACTATAAGTTCACAACATCATGTGAGAGTAGGTTAATGCATTATATCATTACACAGCGCGTGATAGGTTATGTGTGTCAATAAGAGTTCACAGCTGAGATGTCACTAAGAGTTCTCACTGTTATATTGCATATTACACATGAATGCAGGATTTGTTTTTGCAAATTTCTTCACACTAACATGGTTATATAGCTATTTGTATCTCATCCAACTTATATGGTCTAATATCTGATTAGGGTTTTGACTTTTACACTACAGTAGCCCAAAACGGGACAAAGTAGCCCAAAACGGACGAAAGTAGCCCAGAACAGGCCAAAGTAGCCCAAAACAGACCCAAGTAGCCCAAAATGGGCCAAAGTAGCCCAAAACGGGATGAATTTGCCCAAAACAGAAAAAAAGTAGCCCAAAATGGGCCAAAGTAGCCCAAAATGGACCAAAGTAGCCCAAAATGGGACAAAGTAGCCCAAAACGGACCAAAGTAGACCAAAACGGAACAACGTAGACCAAAACGGGCCAAAGTAGCTCAAAACGGGACAGAAAAAAGTAGCCCAAAACGGGCCAAAGTAGCCCAAAACGGACCAAAGCAGCCCAAAACGGGACAAAGTAGCCCAAAACGGGATGAATTTGCCCAAAACAGAAAAAAAAGTAGCCCAAAATGGGCCAAAGTAGCCCAAAATGGGACAAAGTAGCCCAAAACGGGATGAATTTGCCCAAAACAGAAAAAAAAAGTAGCCCAAAATGGGCCAAAGTAGCCCAAAACGGACCAAAGTAGACCAAAACGGACCAACGTAGACCAAAACGGGCCAAAGTTGCTCAAAACGGGACAGAAAAAAGTAGTCGAAAACGGAGAAAAGTAGCCCAAAATGGGCCACAGTAGCCCAAAACGGGATGAATTTGCCCAAAACAGAAAAAAAAGTAGCTCAAAACGGGCCAAAGTAGTCCAAAACGGGCCAAAGTAGCCCAAAACGGACCAAAGTAGTCCAAAACGGGCCAAAGTAGCCCAAAACGGGACAGAAAAAAAGTAGCCCAAAACGGGCCAAAGTAGCCCAAAATGGACGAAAGTAGCCCAAAATGGACCAAAGTAGCCCAAAACGGGCCAAGGTAGCCCAAAACAGACGAAAGTAGCCAAAAACTTGCCAAAGTAGCCCAAAACGGACCAAAGTAGCCCAAAAAAGTAGCCTAAAAAGTGCCAAAGTAGCCCAAAACGGACCAAAGTAGTCCAAAACCGCCCAAAGTAGCCCAAAACTGACGAACGTAGCCCAAAACAGACCAAAGTAGCCCAAAACGGGCCAAAATAACCCAAAACGGGATGAATTTGCCCAAAACAGAAAAAAAAGTAGCCCAAAATGGGCCAAAGTAGTCCAAAACGGGCCAAAGTAGCCCAAAACGGGACAGAAAAAAAGTAGCCCAAAACGGGACAGAAAAAAAGTAGCCCAAAATGGACCAACGTAGCCCAAAACGGGACAAAGTAGCCCGAAACGGGAGGAGGTTGCCCAAAACATGAAAAAAAAGTAGCCCAAAACGGGCCAAGGTAGTCCAAAACGGACCAAAGTAGCCCAAAACAGGCCAAAACAGCCCAAAATGGGCCAAAGAAGCCAAAAACGGGACAAAGTAGCCCGAAACGGGAGGAGTTTGCCCAAAACATAAAAAAAAAAAAAGTAGCCCAAAACGGGCCAAAGTAGCCTAAAATGTGCCAAAGTAGCCAAAAAAGGACGAAAGTAGCCCAAAACAGACCGAAGTAGCCTAAAACATGCCACAGTAGCCCAAAACGTTACAAAGTAGCCAAAAATGGGATGAATTTGCCCAAAAAAGAAAAAAAGTAGCCCAAAACAGGCCAAAGTAGCCCAAAACGGACCAAAGTAGTCCAAAACGGGCCAAAGTAGCCCAACACAGGACAGAAAAAAAGTAACCCAAAACAGGCCAAAGTAGCCCAAAACGGACCAAAGTAGACCAAAACGGGCCAAAGTAGCCCAAAACGGGACAGAAAAAAAGTAGCCCAAAACGGGCCAAAGTAGCCCAAAGCTGGACAAAATAGCCCAAACCGAGCCAAAGTAGCCCAAAATGGACGAAAGTAGCCCACAACGGACCAAAGTAGCCCAAAACGGGCCAAGGTAGCCCAAAACAGACGAAAGTAGGCCAAAACTTGCCAAAGTAGCCCAAAACGGACGAAAGTAGCCCAAAAAAGTAGCCTAAAACATGCCAAAGTAGCCCAAAACGGACGAAAGTAGCCCAAAACTTGCCAAAGTAGCCCAAAACGGGACAGAAAAAAAGTAGCCCAAAACGGGACAAAGTAGCCAAAAACGGGAAGAATTTGCCCATAACAGAAAAAAAGTAGCCCAAAACGGGCCAAAGTAGCCCAAAACAGGACAGGAAAAAAGTAGCCCAAAGCGGGACAAAGTAGCCCAAAACGGGAAAAATTTGCCCATAACAGAAAAAAAGTAGCTCAAAACGGGCCAAAGTTGCCCAAAACGGGATAAAGTAGCCCAAAACATGCTAAAGTAACCCAAAACAGACGAAAGTAGCCCAAAATGGACGAAAGTAGCCCAAAACGTGCCAAAGTAGCCCAAAACGGACCAAAGTAGCCTAAAATGGGACGAGTTTGCCCAAAACAGAAAAAAAGTAGCCCAAAACGGACCAAAGTAGCCCAAAACGGGGCAAAGTAGCCCAAAACGGGACGAATTCGCCCAAAACAGAAAAAAAAGTAGCCTAAAACGTGCCAAAGTAGCCCAAAACGGACCAAAGTAGCCCAAAACGGGACAAAGTAGCCCAGAACTGGACGAATTTGAGCAAAACAGAAAAAAAGTAGCCCAAAACTGGCCAAAGTAGCCCTAAATGGGACAAATTTGCCCAAAACAGAAAAAAAGTAGCCCAAAACGGACGAAAGCAACCCAAAACGGACCAAAGTAGCCCAAAACTGGACGCATTTGCCCAAAACGGGACAAAGTAGCCTAAAAGGTGCCAAAGTAGCCCAAAACGGAACAAAGTAGCCCAAAACGGGCCAAAGTAGCTCAAAATGGGATGAATTTGCCCAAAACAGAAAAAAAAAGTGGCCCAAAACATGCAAAAGTAGCCCAAAACGGACCAAAGTAGCCCAAAACGGGACGAATTTGCCCAAAACAAAAAAAAAAGTAGCCCAAAACGGACCAAAGTAGCCCAAAACGGGACAAAGTAGCCCAAAACGGGACAAATTTGCCCAAAACAGAAAAAGAGTAGCTCAAAACAGGCAAAAGTAGTCCAAAACGGAACAAAGTAGCCTAAAACGTGCCAAAGTAGCCCAAAACGGACCAAAGTAGCCCAAAACGGACCAAAGTAGCCCAAAACGGGCCAAAGTAGCCCAAAACGGGACGAATTTGCCCAAAACAGAAACAAAGTAGCCCAAAACGGACGAAAGTAGCACAAAACGGGGCAGAAAAAAAGTAGCCTAAAACGGGTTAGGGTTAGGGTTAGATCTATGATATAGCATTTTCATGTCTAAAGAAAGGGGTGTATCTCAACTCACACATGACAAAATCACAAGAAAGGGTATAGAACAGGCCTTGTCCCCATCTTTCTCAAGGTTAACTCCCGTGGGCACATTAACAGAAGAGGCCTCAAAAATGGCATGGTTGAATGTTAATAACTCCATCTTAACCAATACCCATAAAGACTTAGCTTGGCAAGTTGTCCATAAGTGTTTACCCATGAGAGCTTTCCTTGAGAGAAGAAAATGCAGTCGCAGTGCTAAGTGCCCTAGGCCTTTTTGTGGTGACAATGAAACTGCAGAACACCTCTTCTGGTCATGCCCCTTTGCAAAATTTGTGTGGTTGCTAGTATCACGATGGCTGAAAAATTTGTATAAAGCTCCCATCTGTTATGAAGAAATAGCTTATGGTTGCTTGCAAAAAAATTCAACAACTAAGGTTAAAAAATGGTGGGTTGTTATCAACTGTGTAAAAGAAAGTCTGTGGAAAGCAAGAAATGTATGTGTTATGAAAAAGTATTGTATCTCAGAAAAAATCGTAAAAAGATCTATGTTAAACATTTTTAAGGACTATCTGTTAAAAGACACAACAACAGAAATGAAAACAAAACTGCTGTTATGGAAGGTGCCACAAACCACATGGTTTGATAATAATATAGTCTGTTTTTAGTAGATGCAAATCATGAAATTTGTGATGATTTTAAATGTGAAACTGTAAAACTTAAATATAGTGATATGAAAGTAATTGTGTGATTGTGATATCACTCTGCACTGAATTCAATAAATGTCTAAAAATCTTCTCAAGGCAGTGAGGAGGAAGCTGGGGACTGGTAAGGTGGCTGCAAGAAAGGTGAGGGAGGCCAGGACCTCTGCCTTCAGGACCAGAACCTTCCCTGTGATGGTGAGATCTCTTTGTTCCCAGCTGCGCAGTTTCCCTTTTATTCTGGGGAGCCTTTGTTCCCAATTTACCATTTCCATCTCCCTCCCTATCTCAATCCCTAGTAGTTTTATTCTGTCTGGTTTTTCCTTCAGGCCAAGATCCAATTTACCGTCCCACCAATTCAGATATAAGATCTCACTCTTGGCCCTGTTTAGTTTAGCCCTAGAGGCACGAGAGCAGAGATCGTACCATCTGAGACTATTAAAAACAGATCTGTTATCGCAGCATAAAATAGTCAAATCGTCCATGTACAGTGACACTTTGGCTTCCCTCCCTCCACTCCCAGGAACAAGCAGGCCATGGATAGAGGGATCCTGTTTGATAGCACAAGCAAGAGGCTCCATTGCAAGAATAAACAAAATGACAGATAGAGGACAACCTTGTCGAACCCCACCCTGTACCTTAAAGGGAGCAGCGTAAGTGCCATTCACAACAACCTTACTAAAACAGTCCTCAGCTGAGGACCAAAGCCAAAACTCAACAAAACTCTTTTTAAATAATCATGATTAATCTTATCAAAAGCCTTTTCTAAGTCTAGGCCTGATATACAGAGAGAAAGCTTGTGGTCTACTGCATACAGATAAGAGTCTCGCACCAGGGCGAGACTGTCACTCATACTTCGGCCTGATACTACACAAGTCTGTTCTACTCCTACAATCTGATCTATTACTTCGTGTAAACGGAAGAAAAGTGCTTTCACAAAAATTTTGCGGTCAACCCTAAGTAGTGTGAGGGGGCGCCAATTTTTTATATCTTTTTTGTTTCCTTTTTTGAACAAGAGAGTGATGGAGCCTTCTCTAAGGGATGATGGTAATGTTCCAATACTCAAACTCTCGTTAAACATTTCAAGAAGTGGGCCCTTTAGATCTTCCCAAAAGATAACATAGAATTCTTTCGGCAAGCCGTCTGACCCCGGGGCTTTGTTGCTTGCCATACTGTAATGAACCAGCCCGGAACGGGCGTTGTCAGAGGCCAACAAACACTACAACTCAGAATGTAAATAAAAGACAAAACTTTATTTAAAGATACTATTTAAAATGTAGAAAATAGGGCAGCGAGACACTGAACTAACTGATTCACCTATGGGCAGACTTCTACCGTAACCGGCAAAACACACGCAGATAATCAGTGCATCATACACACACGTTTAAGAGTGAATACACACAGCCAATTCTAGGACTCCGCACAGCAAACAGAAAACTGCACGCAACAGGTGAACACAGATGCCAAAGTGTAAACAGGGCTGTATCGCCCAAAACCCCTATAGTGTGGCCAGTGTCAAATGTCCCCCCACCCACAGGTTAACAGTGTCATCAGTGTAACTCACTCGGCAATCTAAAACGAGCTCACATGTGGACTACAATAAAGCAAAACATACAAGTGAAATATGTATAAACAGAGAGGAGAATAAAGTGATAAAACTTATCTCGCCCAGCTGGCGAGTCCCTCCCCCGGGGTCTGAGCGTTAGCACCGTCTCACTCCCCAGGGTAAGTAGCGTTGGCCGGCAGTGCAGGTAGCGGGCGGCGGCGTGCCGAGCGCTGGAACACAGGACTGGCAAGAGGAGGTCAGCGTACACGCTCCTAAACCCCGGGCCCTAGCTAACTACAGGAGGCGACTAGCCCCCCCCTCCTGACTCTGGTACAGCTCCCCTATTCAGCTGTCTTCATCGCCGGCAGCACTAAAAGCTGCGAGCGACGCCTCCCCCCAACGAGCGAGCAAGCTCACAGAACAGAACAACTCTCACCAGTGACAAAAAAAGTCTGCCTGCCACTCTCCTTTTGACTCTGCGTCTCAGTTCAGTCACACAGCTGCTGGCACTCAGCTCATCAAGTGTGTGAAGGCGTGCAGCACCTGCAGATCTCCTCCCACCACAGGTTTACTACAATACTATTCACTTTTTTAGTTAGTTTTCCATTAACATCAGTTACTTTTGCTTCATCTAACTCCTCAGTTCTGTAGAGATCTGAGTAAAAGGAGTGAACACAGGTAAGTATATCATTCATTTCAGTCTTTTCATTACCATTTTTATCATATAGCGCTTCCATTATGTTCCTAGGCTGTTCTAGTTTCCTGAAAAAATATCTAGAGCATTTTTCATTTTCTTCTTGGTGTTTTATTCTACTGCGTGTTAGAAGGCCACGGATAACCTCTGAGTATATGCTTAGCATTCCTTTTTTCAGCACATTTATGTCATCAACCACATCCCAGCCAGCATAAGACAATGTGTAAAGTCGTTGCAGCTTAGCCTGTTGTTGTTTTTTTAGCATAAAGCATTTCTTCTTTGCAGCTTTTTTACCTTCTTCCACAAATAAAGGACTTAGCTTTATCTTTCACATCTTCCCACCAATCCCAGATGGAGTCAAAAGCAAACTGAAGAGAAGACCATTGAGTTAACTTTTCCTTAAATTTTCTAACCACCCATTCATCTTGCAGCACAGAAATGTTCAGCTTCCAGGAGCTTTTTTCTTTTTTTTTTGCATTCTTTAGAACAATAGAGCAGTCGATTAATGCATGGTCAGAAAAGAAGACTGGCTTGACTGAGGCTTGTGTAACCTGCAGTCCCTTTTTGGTAAATAGAAAGTCAATTCTGGAATGTGTTCGACCATTGGACCAGGTGAGTTGGGGTTTTGGGAACGGTATGAGTCTGTAAGTCTGAAATCCTGTATGAGGTTAGTCAAGGCTGTGGAATTGGAATCCAATTTACCAACTGTATGGGATGATCGCTTCTCTTTCCTGACCAGGCAATTAAAGTCACCCCCCAAAATTACTGTTCTATTGCATAACAAAAGTGGCTGTATCTCTTGTATAGTCTCTAGACGCTCTTGAAGCTCAACAGGGCAATACACATTAATAATTCTCAAATCAATATTTTGGTATGTGAAATCAACACACAACATCCTCCCGTCACTTAAGCGTTGCACCTTTTGCACATTAAACACGGGCCCTTTGAATAGGACCGCAACCCCTGATGACCGATTTTTGTTATCACCAGACCAAACAGATTGTCCATGAGTCCATCTTTCTTCAAAGTTCTTATAATTGTCTCTATATGGGATGTTACATTCTTGCAAAAGGAAAATGTAACTCGACTCGGATTGCAGAAAGGTGAAAACAGTAAGGCACTTAGTGGGGTCACTCAGTCCTCTGGTGTTGAGTGAAGCAACAGAGAGAGAAAGCATGGAGAAGAATAGTAGAATGGGGGGGTCAGAGGGCCAAATTAACAACATGGAGATTGCATAGGTACAAGCTTCTCAAACTAGGGCTAGTTTTGCTTCTTTTTTTTCTTTTTTTCTTTCCGGGACATTTCCCTTGCTTCCGTTACATCACCACCCATTAGGGTAGTTGCAGAGAAGGCAGACAGGACCTCAGGATCTAGATAAGGAATAGCAGGAAGCGGGGTGTTAGACCATGCCTCTTCATCTGGGGCTTTGGTGGAGAAGTCTTGTGAATTTCCCTTAGGTCGTTTCGAAGGTGGCGTGCTCTCACTGGATGAAGAAGGGGTGGAGCTGCTTGCTATGCCCCCAGAGAAGGCCAGGTCTTGGAGGCCAAGCTCTAGAAGGTCTCGGAGGTCTCTTCAATCACCCGGGGTGGCGCTCTTGGCGAAGCTCTCCACAGTGGCCTGACCTGGTTGTGCTGCTGGCAGGTCCTCCTCGAGCTGCCGTATTGTCTGAGAGATGGTCTCGTCCTGCTCGGTTGACAGTGGAGCCAGCTGGTTCAGATGTTCCTCTTCATTAGACATGAGCTCATCAGGGAGGGTGCTTGTCACCTGGTCTAGTTGGTCCCCTTCCTCCTTGTCCTCAGCCTGAAGCTGAAGGGGGTCCTGTTGGTCATGGACAGTGGTTGATTCGGAGATGGCTTCAGTGTTCGGCAGCTCTGAGGGCACCTGGGCATTGGTGTACTCTGATGGGAACTGGGCCAAAGGACCATGTTGCTGCTGGTCAGATGGCCATGGCAGAGTAGTGACACTGGGTGTTGGTCGATCATGGGCTGATCGTTCCTCCTCTGGTGGAAGCTCAATGTCAGCTGTGGATGTAGCTTGTCTGGTACGGTTGGCGTAGGACCAGGGGCAGCTTTGGAAGGTGTGGTTACTGGAGTTACAGAGGTTGCACTTCATTGGCTGGCAATTTCTACAGAACGTGACTTCACAGTCGGAAGCCAGATGGCCGAAGGAACCACACTTCCTACAGGTCTTTGGTTGTCCTGCATAGAAGACATGGCCCCTGTGGGGCCCCAACTGGATGGTTGGTGGCAGGTGGTGGAGGCCCCCAGAATCTGTATTTTGTTTGAGGCGGATGTAGAAGCGCCAGGCCTCGGTTCAAATGCCATCTTCGTCTTTGAGCTCCAAGCTCCGGATGACAGAGCAGTGGAAGGATAGCCAGGTGCTGATGTCTTGCGTTGTCACTTTCTCTGAGTACATGATCACTGTCACTGCCTTGGGTTCCCTCTCTGAGAGAGATGTCACTTCAATATTGGCTAGTCTGGGGTTGTTGGTTTTCCTCTGTTCAAAACGCTCGAGGCATTGTTGAAACAGGAAGAAAGTGGTGAAGATGACTTCAAATGTCTTTTAACCAGGCAGCACTAACACATAATCAAGTTGTTGGGGCGAGAAACCCAACTCCTTCTGGACCACCAGTCTGCTAAACTGCAGCCTGTCCATCTCCAAGCCATTCTGCAATCCAAACCGGACAGCATTCCATCTCGAAGTTATAGGTACCACCATGGCGCAGGGTGTGCTGTCCTGCAAAGAACTTGCCACACCCCATACACCGCACGACTATGACAAAGTTCATACACTAACACAGTAGAGACACCTTCTTGATCATGGTATCTCCCCTGCCTGGAAAAATGTAAACTGCAAATGACTTTTTAACAGTCATAAAGATCTGGCCTGGAAGGCGGTTCATGGCTGCCTCCAGACCAGAGCCCTTCTGTATAGAAGGAGATGCACCAGAAGCCCAGTGTGTCCTAGATCAAACTGTCATGTGGATGAATCTGTAATCCACTATTTTGGGTCTGTCCATTTGCACAGAGTGTGGGGAACTGTTAACACATGGCTTATAGACTTGCATAGGAGTCCTGATGCTGATGATATATTGTATGGTGATATGGACCCAAAAGAAACCGGTAAAGATGTAAAATGGTGGCCTGCTATTAACTGCATTAAAGATGGAATATGGAAATGTAGAAATCTGTTAGCATTTAAGATTGTCTATAAATCCCAAGAATCTGCTATGAAGATTGCTTTCACATTAGTCAAAGACTGTATACAAATAGACAAAAAGAAGCACAGCTGTGATGAACTTATTATATTGTGGAAAACTCAAAATGTTTTTATTAGAGAGTTAGTGTGTGATGTAATTTAACAATCTTGTAAACTTGTATTTGTACCTCGATCTTTGTGCCTGCTTTAAAAAGTTTACTGTTGTATTAGTAAAAATGTAAAACTGGGGGAAAAGTAATTTAAATGAAAAAGATATGTTTTTTTAAAATGTTCCTTTTGCCATTATCTATTGTAACTGTAAATATCATGTATTGATTTACCTTTGACGTTTATTAATAAAGCACCTAAAAATTGAAAATTGAAATTGAATTGGTTCACCCAAGGCGAGGCTCGG